TCTGTACACTGGTAAAGATATAACTCCAGTTAATAAGTATATTCCCACCTTAAATAGCTTCAGTCGTCGGCTTGTCATGACAAGACACAACTTTGTCATTTATATGACAAGCTGCTTTTACATTAAATGGCATCAAACTTTTGTATATGAAGTTCAAGGGAATGTGGTACCTCACATCCTAAATAAGGTCACTGTGACCTCAATATGACCTTTGACCTTAAACTTGATTACTGAAATAATAGTTTCCAGATCATATGTTAGCTGCTGTTTCATAAATGGGCATCAAATATGTTATATAGGTACATCATAGGAAGGCGATGTGTCGTATCCTAAAACAAAGTCACTGTTGCCTCAATTTGACCTGCAACTCCCGTACTAAATAATGAGTTTTCGAGCATTTCTCATTATCTCAGCCACTGTTTCATGAGTGAGCATCAGGCGGTGTGTGGCATCCCAAATGGTTTCGAGAGCATATGTCGACGACTGTTTGATGAATTGACTTCAAACCTTTTATAAAGTAACATCATAGGATGTCGGCATGTCCATTCTAAAATGAGGTATTTGGATGACCTTGATCTCAACTACTGAAATAATGGTTTCAGTGAAGCATATCTCAGCTGTTGTAAAAATTCAATTCGATTTTTGACCTTTGACCTCAATTTTAAATACTGATTGAGATCTTTAATCTTTGCTTGTTGGACATGGAAAGACATTTACTGCACCAGTACTTGTGAAACTATGATTGATTGTGGTCCTGCTGACCAATTTTATATTTATAACATATAAACAGTAGAGATACCAATGCTATACAATACAACTGCTGGGCATGAACAGTTTACATAAATTTTACCACAATAGTCCCAGGGTTCAGCCCCTGACCCTTGGGATTAAGTCGTGCATCATGAAAAAGAAATAGTGGAAATTGCAACTCAATTACCATACTCCACCTGATACTCAAGTCCTTAAAAAGAGGAGTTTGTTATTAAAATGCTTCTTTCCTGACATTTCTATTCAATTTCAATGCGATAATATAAATATTTTTTATGACAATGTAACATTATTGACAAAGGAAAACCTACACCTGTCTACCTATTTTCTATATATGCATTTATTTTCATAATTAAATCCGTGTATTCATTTGTTTGCTGTTGTAGACATGGAGAATATTGTATATATTTTGTTTCGATTAGATTGTAATAATAATAAGAAGAAGAAACAGACCACAAACAATATGTCCCCAAACTTTGTTTGGGGGGCATAATAAGAAACGGAGGAAACCAATAAGTCCCCCGCTTCGTTTGGGGGACTTAAATATTGATAGTGCTATGTCTTGCTAGGCTTCCATTGATACCATCAATGATTTTTATCTGCAGCGGCAGTGAACATATAGTTATTTGGGTATTGAGAAATCACAGTTAACACATTAACTTTGACTTTTTTTTGACCTGGTGAAATATATTTTATTGCACATATATATTTTTTATTGAACATTATTATTTTTGCTATTGCACATATATTTATAATTATTGAATACAGTTATAGAATATTGCACATATATTTACAATTATAGAATACAAATATAAAATTTCGTACATACATAAATATAAAGTTATTGAATATTGCAACGTTTGACACGCCATAGTACATACTTGAGTTAGATGTGTTACTTTTTTACCGACAAAAAGAGCAGAGCTGTGAAATAAAGGTATTGTAAGCAAAAGGTTGGACGCTACAGAATATGGACAGGGCGCTTCAACATCTGACTATTTATTAGCTGCAACACTTAAGAGTAAATAAAACATTAACCTACCTCTATAGTATATCGTGATGTTATCGATAGTGCTTGGCTGTCCTAGATCTACACGCCACCAGGCTGTTGATTCGTCTGGACTCGTATGTGAACAGCAATCATTGTTAAATTTTTGATCCAAGCATCCGTCTACAGACCTATTTGCTGGGTGCGTTTGGTGAGTAGTACTTTGATTTGTAGTTTTCATCAACGAGATGTTTTCTGAATCATCAAAGTATAGGTTTGCATTGAATCGTATTAATTTCTAAACATCACAAATACATTATATGGCCAAAGAATTCTTATCAGAGGTAAACGCACATATAACACTAGCTCCTTACAAAAGTATGTTTGTTGAATACGAATTACTTAAAATTGATGTGTGGTTTGGAGCAGGGAAGTAATTTCAATAGCGTAGATAATATGAGGTTGTCAATAACATGTACTTTTTACATGTGCGGCTAGGAGCTATGTGTGCAAATTAGTTCCTGAGTGGAAGACTATAGGATGAAGAACCCTTGGACTTTACAGTAAGAATCTCGGGGGTTGATTCGGCACTTACCCCTCAGCTGCATTTGTATATATCAGCATGTATTAAACTTTTATTTCATTGAAAAATTTAAAATATAATTACAAAAAAGTAGAATAAGTCAAATGTTAAAATATATGATAAACTGAATCTTACTGTATATTACCTAATTTCCATTTCTACCGGATAATATTTGAATAAAATGTATTGTTATATGGAAAAAACTTAATATAGGCTTTAAGCCTGATGTTCAATCCAATTGATCATGATTATCAATAAAATTTGTTGAAATTGAAATTGAGGTTGTCAAATTTTCGAAAATTTCGCTCCTTTATCGAGACACAAAAAAACCCCACAGAACACATACATTACACTGAAACAAATTAAAAATATAATAGGATATGATAATATTCAAAAACAATAAACAACGGCGAGCATAAGCCGAAGGCAAAATTTACATTCGCCGCATCGTTGACGAATGATACTTTGTGAGTGCGAACATCGACAAAGATATCATAATATACGGGGAAAATTGAAGCGTGAGGAAATATGCTGAAGCTGGAAAAAAACTAACACGACGAATCGTCTAGGAATGATAAAATGGAATAACAAGTAGAGTCTATCGAAATGTATCATTGATATTTATTCTTACGACCATCTCACAATTAAATTGCTATAACATTAAAGGGAAAATCATTGAATGAAATTTTAAAAATTGAATACAAAAGATACGCTTCTCAAAATTCAAAGCCACCAAACGCGATTATCATACAAATATGGTGTCAAATATTGAATTATATCTTAAATACTTACAGTGTATTTTGTTATTCTTCACCACTTAATTTGCAAAAACCTGGCTTGAAATGATTAAGATATTTACGACGTACTCTCAAAACACCGTCAATTTTAGATAATAAGGATGCAAATACCCTAAATGTGTGCTATATGTTTCATTGGAACTGTGAGCGATTTTTCAAAGGTATACATGTACCCCTGGAGCAGAAATTAAAGCATAATGAACCATAACTTAGCACAAAACATAGTCCAATTAAAAATCCCGTTCTTCATGTACATCTGCCTATGATGTAGTTTCAGTGTACTGGCAAACAAACTTAATCCGATGAACAGTCAAGGTGGAGTTGCACTTACAAGGTTTCCAAGGCAGAACTTTAAAGTTTCAAGGGACAATACTCCGTGAAAAAAAGTCAAAGAAAAAATCTTCATGCACATTTGCATATAATGTAGTTTCATTGTGCATACAAGGACCATGGACAGAAGGACAGGCGGGCGGACAGGGTGATTCATGTGCAAGGGGGCGGGGATTGACAAAATCAAGTTTTCTCAATTACTCAATGATTGTAATATAAACAAAACTGTCTTATGTTGCACTAGTGAATTTATCAATGTGATACATCATATGTACTCTTACAATTGTAACAAAAGTTAAAATCAACAATTATATCTCAGATCAGGAAAGTCATGCAAGTTCTGAGACTCTGTATCTTTCGGGTACATTAATTTAGCCAAACCTGGAATATCACATACCAAGAAATATATATGTCAGTGGCTGTTAAAATGATTTATAATAACACAGTACTTAAGAGAGATTCAGCTGAGACCTTTACAGAATATGCATGACGGTAACTAAACATCTACGTTCAGCCAACGTACCTTCTGACATTGATAGGCATATCATTCCAACAACGATTAGAAATCCCTCATATATTTGCACCACACTTCTTGTTGCCATGTTGACGACCAAAAGCGAGAGAATTATGTTGCGGTATTATTCTCGTGTCGACAAGAAGCGCTGTCATCGCGTGTAAGTTACACTCTGAAATGTGTATGACTTGCACGTCTCATATTGTAAATAGTGTATGGGCGTTGCTAGAGTGCACACAAAATACAAACAAATTAAATGAAAACGCCTAGAATAAGTTCACTTAACGAAACGCTGATCAAGTGAATCGAAACAAGTACGACAAGCTTAGTCAGCGTCGAGCTACAGTTGATTGATTGATGGATTGATAGGATTTACGTCCGCTTCACTACCAAGTAGTTCGGTTATCCAGCATACGAAGAAAAGACGGGAAAATGATTAGAAGTGATAAAGTATGGAGTGAAGGGATAGAAGAGGGAGAGAGGGAAGAGGGGAGCCGTCTATCCTATATGTATTTCCTGTATACGTCTATTTTTTGTAAGACGGCTCCTATGCCTAATATTTGCCTTAACCTAACACTAGTCGTATAGCAGCACCAAGTCTGGACCGGAAGTGAGGTAAAGAGCCGCCAAATTCACACCAGCTCCTGACTACTCTAAAATTGTTTTCGGTATAAATATTTTAGAAGTCCCTTTAAATGTCCTAATAAAGAGAACATAGTTGTAACGGCCGAAAATAAACCTAATCCTATTCTCTGAGCCGGCGTTACCACGCCTACTCTTTTTGAGCTACAGTACACGGGTCTTCTATTTATGGTCATGTGGAGGCAAGAAAAACTCGCTAAAAATACGGAAGAAGAAGCATAACGTAGGGGTGTTTTGCCGGTGCCAGATCCCCTTTTAAAGGGGATCAAAGGGGTTCGTAACCTTAACCTATGACCTAGGTCAGATGACGCAATGTGACCCAGGTCAAGGTTACGATCCCCTTTGATCTCCTTTAAAAGGGGATCTGTCACCGGTATTTCAACTAGGTCAGATGATGCAATATTGGAAAATCCCTGGAATGTATAGCCTAAGGGGCTTATCCTCTATATGGAATGTAAGCAAAAGTGGGGAAATACCGGGTATGCGGCAGATCCCCTCTTTGGAATGTAAAAGTTGCTAAATCGAGGTCATGTGGTCAGTCCCTCATCCCTCACTGGTCCCTCAGTGATCCCTCCCGTCACGTGTACATATTAGTTTTTAAAATAAAAAAAGTCACAACAGGTTATACCATTTTTGCAAGACCGAACATGTCCACGGCGAGGGTGACATTGTGTATATATACCAGGCAAACATCTGTAGTCACCACTCATGGCTCAATAGATCATCAATCGGATAGCCACGGATGACCTCACACTGACAAGTATATCGCACAGTAAAGTAGACTGTCGTCCGTCCCGGAATTACGCAAGAAATCATAGTGAAAAAAGTCAAAGGTGAGCTGATGATCTGTTTAAGATGGGAAGAGTATTCAAATAACAGGAGACTATTTTAAAAAGATATTGTTTCTGTCAGAGAGTTTACAGTGTGTTTGTGCCTTAATATGCTAACATGTCAGATATTACGACAGATTGTATCCGTCATACTTCATATCACATACGACCAATACATCAGTCTATGATGAAATATGAGGATCGATTACAAACGTTCCAAAACTGGCCCCAACAAATACATCAGATTCCAAACGAACTCGCCCGTAACCCGGTTTTTTTCAGGACATAGCGATAAAGTCACCTGTTTGGATGTTTTGGAATACATTTAAGCTNACATTTAGAAGTGGAGAAACTGTGGCCCCAATTTACTATTTACTATTCAGTCCTGTATTCCTTCACGCGTATTACAACCTTTAATAGAAGAGGAGTGTTTCCGCTCTGAAGACTATGTGAAACAACATTTCAGTAGGAACATTCTAAACTTTGTGAAGAAAATAGACATTGTCAGACTGAGACTCTTTGTTTGATATGTAAACTTAAATCAACCACTAAAATGGCGAATGAAAGACCTGTGGCAAAGAAAAAAGATTGATGAAATCATTCAATCTATGTTAGAAAGTCGCTTCATAAAACCATAACGACATTTTTTTTTATTTATTTATGTGGAGACTTTTAAGACAACAGCTCGAGTATGTATTCGCTAACCCATGTATTGTTATTAAAATGTTAACTGATTGTCTGTCTTGTCTTTATTATATTGTAAACGTTAACATCAGTATGTATATTTAAATCATTAAATTGTGTGTAAACGAACATGCTTTTTATCATCAGTTTTATATTTTAACAAAATATTAGAACAGCAATGGGTTTTTATAACAAATATATACACAACACTCTATATAGCAGATGGTTCACATCTAGATAACCTCAAACAATTTAACGATTATCATCCAAATAAAATTATGCAACCTCACATATCTGACACTTTTTAATGATTTTATCTCACTAACACTCAAAATCTATACACATCATTTGTTAAACATTTCACAAGATAAAACCGGTTTTCTTCATAAGATATGTTATATGAAAGACGTTTATTTCACAATATATCCGACTCAAGTTTTGCAATGGTTTTACAACACAAAAGATATTTTAAAGTATACATCTTTTTAAGTAAGAATTTTTAACAGAAGTAGTACACAATATTTATAAAAGACAACTATAAAAGCACACCATTCAGTTTTGCATAGTATGAGGTAGTTTGTTTTGAGTATTTATCAACCACTGACTGTTCTTAAAATAAACCTGACACGATTCTCAGGTAAGTCGGGGAAAACCTGCCTAAAGCCAATGTTGTGTATACAAGTAACAAATTATCTATCGCATTGTCGAGGAAGACCTCACACTAACGAGCATATCACAGTTGCCCTGGTTTTGGTACGATGACCGTTTCATCGACATGGAATCATGGCTACCTAATGGAATGCGGCCTATTTAAGTGATCATATGTACATACCCATCCAACAACACCATTCAACAATACTTACAAATAGCTAAAGGCCTAGTCCAGTAGTTAGATACAAAAATGTGTATACACAAGATTGAAAGAGAAGAAGACACACTATGTCCAAATTTTATAATTAACAAAATATATACACATCATTTGTTAAACATTTCACAGGTTAAAACCGGTTGTGTTTATGTCGATGTATGAAAAACAGTTTATTTAAAAAATATATGGTACAACTTTTGCAATAGAGTTGTTTTACAATGTTTTTAAGTAAGACATTTTAACAGAAGTAGTACACGGCTTTTATAAAAGACAGCTATAAAATCACACCATTTCAGTTTTGCATAGTATGAGATAGTTTTCAAAAGATCTACAACAACAATATAAACTGTAGATTTTTTTTCCCCATCACTTAAGACTTTTAAAATTAAAGTTTTAATAAATATGAAATATTTTGTTTATGAAATAGGAACAAAAGTGTTACTTTTCACAAGATACTTTAAAAACTAAGGTAGAAAAATAGTTTTTTAACATATTGGTACAAAGTATGACACAAGTTTCGTAAAATAAAATTTCAAAGTATATCATTTTCCAAATAGTGTAAGAAATGTGAGAAAGTTTTCACACTTGATTTTGTTGACAATAATACTTAAAGCTTAAACATCTTTATGAAAATGGTTTTGTCAAAGTATACAACAAGGTATAGAATAAGTGAAAGAAAAAAATCACCAACCAGACACTTTGTTAAACACAGAGTAAATTTTAAGAACCTGAAGTATGAACATCAAATTTAGATGGGATGCCATATAAGAAGAATACGTAATCAACAAATATTTACAATTTTGTTTTGTAACGTAGGTAGTTTTTGAGTTTTTTTACATATAGGAGGCGGAATAAAGTAGATAGGACTTTGTAATCTGCTAATAAAATCTATACCATATTTAACTCATTGAGACTCCCACCCAAGGCATTTTTAAGATATGTAAAGCATGTTTAAGATAACAATCAACAGTAACTACATTCCTAAAAGTGTGAAATGATATCCACTCAAGCATCACCATGACCAAAGGCCAAGTTCAATAGTTAGA